GCTCATATCTAAATCACGAGTAGGTGCATAATGAACACACTCTCGAATGGGGGATGACTAACATGTAAAGTTTGAGATACTGTTATTATCATGTAAAATGACTTGTTTTTTTCTGTAAAGTATCTTGGTGTGCATGGATTTTTGTCCTTGCAACCATAACACATGTAAATAAGCCATGCATAAGCTGGAAAACGACTTTTCTTCGTGTTTAAAAATAAGATGCAGTTTCTTGATCACACATGGGGAAGACGCAGGCCCTTACTTGGCTGCCATTCCCGTCAGCAGAGCCCAGTGTAATTTAGAGCAACTGTCAGACTATGTGCTCAGTGGACATATATGTGCTTGGCAGGCAACAACGATGTGGGTGTCAGGGTCGAAATGAAAGGTTTTATGAGTGCCCTGTAGGTGTGGTACTGTAACATCTTTGCTTGGTGGCTTAATTCTTTTAACTGTAATTTTCTTTTCCTCCTTTCCCCCCCCTAGTGATTATTTCCCCCTATCTCTATGAGAGCTACCCCATGCCTGTCATCCCACAACCAGAGATCCTCAGCTCCGGAGCGTACAACCCCATTACTGTGTGGACTACAACGGCCCCGTTCCATTCCCCGCTGGCGAATGCCCTCTCTCCTCTCTCTGGATACCCCTCAGCCTTGGGGCGAGTTAGTCCCCCTCCTCCATCCGACACCTCATCCAAGGACCACAGTGGCTCGGAAAGTCCAATCAGTGACGAAGAGGAAAGAATACAGTCCAAGCTTTCCGACTCGCATGCCATTGAAGCTGAAAAGTTTCAGTGCAATTTATGCAATAAGACCTATTCAACGTTTTCCGGGCTGGCTAAACATAAGCAGCTGCATTGCGATGCCCAATCTAGGAAATCCTTCAGCTGCAAATACTGTGACAAGGAATATGTGAGCCTGGGAGCCCTTAAGATGCACATTCGGACCCACACCTTACCTTGTGTCTGCAAGATCTGCGGCAAGGCGTTTTCTCGACCCTGGTTACTTCAAGGACACATTAGAACTCACACTGGTAAGAGAAAAAAAGGCATGTTGCTCTTTGCAAAAAGGAAGCTGTGTGCTGGCTATTGGATTTGCATTAAGTAGTGATACAGTGCTCTTATTGATGGACATTAATTTATAGCTACTTCCTGACTTCTCTCCGGAAGTCATTAGAGCATGGGTGCGCCAGTTCTTGTTAACCACCTCTGCTGCAGGGCTTGCAAACAGCATTTAGACTTTGGAAAGTGGATGCCGGAGGTTTGGTCTCAAAGATCAGTTAGAACATCAGGAAAGATGTATTTGAATGTGTGCTCTGTGTAATCAGCAAATACAAATGCTGTTCTTTTAATCAATTGATTTGGTAAATAGGTGGAGAGGTTTCTTACAGTTTTTGGTTAATCACAATTCAGGCTGCGGTAGCTAGCAGTCCAGAGCTAGTTGGGAGGGTGTAATTGAACTTCCGTTGCTCCTTTTTCCCCTTTCCTGATGAACTTTATATTTCTAGCACAAAATTATTCTCTAGGGAGTCAAGTCATAATACAGAAAGAGGGAAAAGGGAAAATCCTGGGAAAAGTAGAGGGGAGCCCAACACTGCACCTGCTGAAGCAGAAAGTTTTCATGAGGGAAAGTCCTAGAACGACATGAATTATTTCTCTTTGACTGGAATCAGTGATAATATGCTGGTGTAATGTTTTAATGCAACATTCAAATGCATCTTAATGGGCCAGACATTAAAATTATTATTTGTTCGAGGGATTTTTAATCAAGCTTTAATGCTTTTTATTCTTTTGGCAAAATGTGGTGGATATTTATAAACTTTGTTTGACTTTTTTTTTTCTTCCCTAAAAACACTGACTCTCTTTTCCATTCCCTCCCTCCCCTCTCCGTCGCCCACAGGGGAGAAGCCTTTTTCTTGCCCTCACTGCAACCGAGCATTTGCGGACAGGTCAAATCTGAGGGCTCATCTGCAGACCCACTCTGATGTAAAGAAATACCAGTGCAAAAACTGCTCCAAAACCTTCTCGCGAATGTCTCTTCTGCACAAACACGAGGAATCAGGCTGCTGCGCAGCCCACTGAGTGATGCAATCATTGTTGACTGGGATAGAATGCATTTCTTCAACTCCAACTCCAAACGATCGCTAAGAGTCCAAAGGCATTTTCTATTGTGCTTACCAACCAAAAAAAATGCGTGTGCGCATGCTCATGTGCACACACACACACACACACACACACACACACACAGAGACACAGCTGAAAATCACGACATCCATCTGTCTAAAGTTAATCCTTTCCATGTGAAGTTTAACATTTCTGTCTATTTACTGACAGCTTGATTGAGAGGATAAAAGACAAAAATCTTTCTTTTCAAAGAAGAAGCAAAACGTACTGTACATCTTTAAAAATAATTAATTAAATAAGTACAAGGAGGGAAGGTTGCAAAGATTTATATTGCTGCCAAATCATTTCAACTGAAGTATTGCTTTATAATAGAGTTCGTAATAGAATTTCCTATAGGAAAAGAATCTGCCAAACACTATCTCAGGTGCCTTGCAAAAAAGTATTCCAAGTTTACTTCATTACGTGTTTGCTGTCTGGTTGTTATGTTAAAATAAGGCCTTTTTGTTTATCTGTAATGCTTAAAACTGTATTTTAACAGAGGTTAAAGCAAAAGGAATGAATGAAACAGAAATGAATGTATTAAAAAATTTATTATTTTAAGGGGGTTGTTTGTTGTTGTTGTTTGTTGTTGTTTGGTTTTGCCAGTGAAGAGTATGTGCCTTAGGGGAGGTGAAAAAATGAGCTTTAAACATTCCTGGTGCATGCTTGATCCGTGTCTTAGGTTTTTAAAGATATTTTAATGATTTTCTAAACTTCAGTAAAAATGGGAATAAGTGCAAGAGAGAATTCTGGGGAACTCAGTACTTAAGATGTTTTAAACGCATACAGCAAAGGCAATACGCCCAGCCATACCCACTTCCAAGTGCCTTTTTCTAATTGTATAGATGATGAGTCAATGTAAATTTGTGTTTATTTTTATATGATTGAATGCATTTTGTATGAAAGTGAGATGTTGTCTATAGTTATGCCTATGAACAACCTGAAGATTTGTAAAACTATATTTCATTTTTTAAAAAATACATTTTTCAAAGTTTTTTTTACAATAAACCTTTTTCATTTAAAATCTGTTGTTTGCATACTATTTTCAGAGGCTTTAGTTGTTTATGTTTAGTACCAAGCTCTTACACAAATGATCCTTTTTCTTTTTTGTTAATCAGAGAAATTTCAAATAGTATTCTAATGTAAATCAGGTGTTGTCTTATAAATGTTAGATTCTAATATATTAAATGACAGTAATATTGTTGCTTATACTTAACACTGTTACATTTATAAGGACTCCCCCATTATGCTTTGTTAGTTTGTTAGTGTGATTTAATTTAAAAAATCACACTTTCTGAGTCCAAAATATATTTTTATGATTAATAGTCAAAGAATCTCTTAAAAAACCTATGCTGCCTTTATTATGTTGATTTTACAAAAGCAAATTACAATCACTCATATTATCAATGGAGCCACTGGATCAGATTATAATTTTCAAAGAAATACGATTTCATAAATAATATGTAAGAGGAAAGGAGAAAACCTGCATAAAGGCATCATGGGAAAAATGGCTTTACCATAGATTATGTAAGTTGGAACATTAAATCATCATACAAAAGAAACCTACATCTAATGTGATAGATTTTATACCATCAGGGCTCAATAGTAGAAAGTTAAAGTTTTCTCTTTTTGGTATTCTGAGCACATTTGTACAAGCAACTATCCAAGTCTTATAGGTATCTGATCAAACATAACATGATTTTTATAAATGCTTCCTAAATGTATATCCACTAGCTCATATGCACAAATGCTAAACAGCATAGGCCCTGTGGCAAGTAACAAAGACTGTCTCAATCCCATCTCAACCTCCTGTGGAACAGAGTTCATCTCTCGATGCTCTCAATACTGCAGCATCTAAGTTGTCGCTATAAAGCCCCCATGGGACCAAAAAAAAAAAAAAAGTTAGAACTTGTATCTCAAGGGGATTAGGATAGGTCATTACTATTCACAGATATAATCTTACCTCTGGGTATGTTTTTCAGAGACAAAACTCTTCTGAGTAGCCGTTGGGGGAGGTGGGAGGTGGGGAAGTGGAGGAATGGTTCATAGCATGTCTGGTACATGCTGAAGTCATAAACAAGTGACTTTAGCTAATTACATATGGTGTCGAAATGATCAACAAACAAAAGTGCTAGAAGCTTCCATCCAAATAACATGTCAAAATATCTTGCAAAGGAAAGCATGAATGAGTCAAGCTTTCGTTAAGGGCACTCCTCGGCCCCCTGCAGACCACATCGACTCACACACACCCCTTAGCTCAGAGAACTTTGGTGTCCAAAACTCAGAACTGCCAAAGTCTTCAAAGACAGATTGGTTCCTAGGTTTAATTCCTTCATAAAAAAAAAAAAACCAAACAAAAAAAACCAACAAAAAAGCCCCAATACAATTAAGTTTTAAAAGAATTCAGTTTCTCACCATTATAATTCAATTTATTATCAAAATATTCCACTCCCATTGAGATAGGCTAAGTCCTGAATCAAGGCATACAAGATATTAAGATAAGAGTGCCAGTGACTCTTATGCATGCCGTGTTAGGCTGCTAACCTGAAAGTCAGCAGTTTGAAACCACTAGCCCTGCCACAGGCAAAAGATGGGCTTTCTACTCCTATAAAGATCCACAGTCTCGGAAGCCCAGGGGCAGGTCTTCTCTGTCCTACAGAGTCCCTATGAGTCGGAATCGATTCAATAACAGTGAGTTTTGAGACATCGAAGTGGTCTATGCATACAGCTTAATACCATAGTAAAATTTTTATGAAAACATATATTAAATTTGTTATTTTCCACATAGTAAAAGCTAAGAATACACATAATTTGTTTGTTTGTGTTTTGTCCACTTTAGCTAGTCAGTTTTTAATTCCATTCCTCCCCCCGTGGACCTTGAGGGCAGGTACCAAGACACAGATATCATTGTAAGTTTGGCATCTACAAATAGCAGTGCACAGGAGTGGCAAGGAGGGGAAACAAGAGAAGGATTTATTTATTGACTGGACAGAGACAGAAAAGCATTTGTAAAAACAGGAGCTGGCAGTGCTCACAGATTTGATCATGAAGAGAAAAGACAAGCTGCATTTTCCAGAAGACAATTCTTCATTAAAGCCTATGGTTGTGGTCAGAACATACAAGAAATACACATACAAAAGACATCATATATTCACTACTCACAAACCTCACCCATCACATAGTCACACTATCTACACCATGCACACACTCACATACCTTTTTCATCATGCAATACATGCCACACACACTAAGCACTCCTTCTCAAACTTGCACACACACATTCAAGCATCATACATAAAACACACCATATGTACCACACACATGCACACAAACACATCCCACAAGCATGCACATCCACACACATGTTCACATAGGATACAACACACATGTGCTACCACACACAACACACATGCTACATACATGACACATCATGCACATACACAACACAACTACACATATGCCTCACACATGGCACAACATAATACAACCACATATGCCTCACATATTTAAAAAATGCACTATACAACATTACACTCACATTTATCATACACCACAAACACAATCACACAAGCAAAAATCCCCACACATGCCACATGCCACCTGTGCACTATTCATGCACCAAATATCTGTATACACATATATCACTACGATAGACACACACACACACACACATGCACATAAAAGCCACGGTAATTTTTCCTGCGTGGCAGGTGTTCTTGAGTAAACTAGATCAGCCATCATTGATGCGAATGTCATGGAGATGAGTTATACCATAGATTGGATTAGTGTGCATAACTGCAGAAAAATCCTAGACCCTAGAATTTAATGAAAGAGACCAAGGTCTCTAACTAGCTGTCTGCTCTCTTATAATGCCTAAGACCAAGCTCAATGTTACTTACTTTAAAGTACCTCTCCAAGCCCCCCTTTCTGTAAACTTTATATATCATTAACACCAGAAGATTTATTTCATTATGTTGTGATTTTTTAATTGATCTTTGTGAAAATTAGGATTTACATCAAATTGGTTGGGTCAAGATTCTCAGTACTTTGGCCGGTAATACCTACTGATCCCCCATGACCTCACCCAACACAATGTGATCACAGCCAATTAGGTCTAAGAAGATTAGGGCATGATGCAACACCCTTACTCTGGCACAGCCCTGATAAAACCAGTTGAAGTTTCCTCTGGGGTACGGCCTATTTCCAATATAAATGGACAGTGTGAAAGGCTTTCTTGCTTTTTTCTGGGTCTGCATCTTATATCTAGCTCATCAACCTCGGATTCTTTTAACTTGAGCCTATAGCCTGCCATAATGTCTGCTGCTCTTAGGAGCCAATAGCAACCAGCCTGGTGTCTTCCTGCCAATCTTGGGTTCATCAGCTACTGCAACTACTCAAGCACAGGGCTTAACAGACAGGCTGAAGTCCGGAGCTGGAGAAGCAGGGATTCTAGTGTGGGTGTATATGCTGCTCACACCTCAGTTTCTCTCTCATTTGTAAGACTGCAAGTTACTTAGCATTCTTTTACCTCCATTTCCTAAAGCATAAAATTCAGTAGCAAGACCTGGGTTCCCATAGAGAGATTATTGGTATCCCACGTAAATGTGTCAACATTACATGCATGAATGGGACTCATATAGCATCAAAGATAATGCCTGAAGCTGTTTATCAAATATCTAATACTTACTCTTGTGCCAGGAAATTTACAACTATCATCACTTTTAATGTTATCTTTGTAGTTGGTAGATAAGGATGTTAATTTTTCAAGCGGTGGATAATTGAGTCTGAGCCACTAGAATAAAAAGCTGAAGAACCAACATTGCATTACAGACCCTGATTTTTTTACTGAGTCTAGGGAACTGGGGACTGTACTCTCAGTTACTCAGACTAGTGCTTTATCTGTCGTGCACATGTCCCAGGTATTTGTAGAGAAGGACAATGAAGCTCTTGAAATATTTTCAAGGAGCTTTTGAGAACTATTAGGATTCAGGGGTTGTACAGTATATACAGAAGTCAATCTTCAGAGCCACTTTCCAAAAGCCATGTTAGCCCCACCCTACTCCAGCATCAACCCTCACTACTAAGAGACGGCCCTGACCCTGCACTGAGCTCCCCGAGTTGCACCCTGAGCCCGTTTCCTCTGGCCCCTCCTCTGTGGAGAAGAAAAGCAGCTGACCTCCATCCCCTGGACATTAACACTTCATTTTCGTGAAAGCCACTGCCGCTCCCTCACACATCCACACATCTCTGCCCAGCTTTCGCCTTCATAAATGTGTAAGACTTCCAAGCTAAACAACGATTTCTTTCAACACCAACATATGGACACCGTGCAAGCATGAGGCAATTATAATTTTGAAAAATAGAATGCTTCCTTGCTTAAACCTAAATCCAAGCAGATGCAACTAATTCAGGTCGAGGATACATTTTGACCAAAAATAATTTGACGATGAGCGTTCTCGAATATGGGGAAGCAAGAATTCTCAAATAAGATGACTGCCTTATCAGAGACAGAGGAAGAGTGAAAACATTTTATTTTCTTGAGAGATACATAGGGGAGAAAAAAGCTTCCATTTCACTGTCAGTGGCCAATATGTACAATCTGTGACTAAAACAGAGCATCGATGGCTCACCCTACAGGAAGCAATGACTACTCTGTGGAAGGCGGGCATGCACACGAACCCAGCAGGGCAACTCTTCCTCCTAGGCCTTCAGCCAGGTCCAGAAACAATAGGCCATCAGCAGAGGAAACTGCAGTGTGTCCTTGTCCCCTAACTCCAGCAGACTCCACAAGCTATTTATAGCTAAGGGTAGGAGCACTGCAGAGAAAAAAAGACAAGTAAGTTTGTATATGGTGTACATAGGTTCATTCACATTTAATTAAGCTCCTCTGCTTATCTCAGGCATGCTTTTAAGCCATTCACTTGTTCGTTCATTTGGACATTTCTATACACAGGGGTGAGTCCCCTTTAATCAGTCATAAGTTCTATTAACAGACAATAGTCAGTGGAGTATGGGCAC